TGACGTCGGGTGAAGGGTGCTTCGATTTTTTGGCGTGGGGAAAAGATGATTTTTTGCCTAGGTCACGTGGGGCTCTGAATGCGTGGAAGAAGAACGAACAACGCCCCTCTGGCGGGCTCTTAACGTGTGGAAGAAGAACAAACAACGCCCCTCTGTCGTCGGCTGCAGGGTGCCTTGAATTTGGGGTAGGGGCCAAGACTCTTTTTTTTGCCTACTAGGTCAAGTGGGGCGCGTGGAAGGAGAACGCAAGCAACGCCCCTCTGACGTCGGCTGCAGGGTGCCTCGAATTTGGGGCCGGGAGCAAGACGTCTTTGTGCTTAGGTCACATCGGGCTCTTAACGTGTTGGTGAAGAACGGAAAAACGTTTTTCTGCTTCGGTCAAATGGGGCCCTTGACGCGTGGAAGGAGAACACAAACAGCGCCCCTCTGACGTCGGCTGCAGGGTGCCTCGAATTTGGGGCAGGGAAAAAGACGTCTTTTTGCTTAGGTCATATGGGGCTCTTAGCAAGTGAAAAGAGACAGGGTACCTCATGTTTGGGGTCAGGAAAGAGACGTCTTTTTGCCTAGATCACATGGGTCTCTTAACGCCTGGAAGGAGAACAAGCAACGCCCCTCTGAGGTGCCTTGTGTTTTTTGCCTCTTAACGAGAATGCAAACAACGCCGTTCTGACTTCGGCCGCAGGGCTGAACACGTGACAGGAGAAGAGCACTAGGGTCTACTCATTAAACCACTCCCCCAAAAAGGGTATAAAAGCAAGGCCCCAACTCTTTTTTTTGAAGTACAACAAGGCCTTCTTGGCACTTTCCTGTTTTTCATGTCCTAGATGCTGAGGATGCAGGAAATGCAAGGGATGCAACCACACAACTTACAGGAACAGACCCTATCTTTGCAATCAAGATTTTAAGACTTTCAGACAGGCAACATTGACCAAACACAGAAAATACCAGAAATGTGGGGAATGCTGGGAATGCAGCCGGCTAGCCACAAAAAAGTGTAAACAACTAGGGTTTTTCGATATTTCCCAAAAGCAACCATCAAAAACCGAATGCTAGCAACCCCCTCAAATACTTTAAAAATAGAATTCCAAAAGCACGATAATGCAGGGGATGTTTCAAAGAAACTGCTCCGTACAGGTGGGGAATTGCAAAAAAAAACTCATTTTTGCAAATTTCCCCTTGGCCCCACCCAAACCCCTAACAGGCCAATTCCAACATCGCTTGAATCAGCAAAACACCACTAGTATCTGCACAAAAAAGAGACACATTCATGGCAACAAGATAACTGATCCCGCGCGTCCGGCCCCCCCCCCCCCCCCAGGACCTAGGCGAAACGCAGATGTTTAGCACGAAAGACCCAAAAACACTGGAAAAATACAGGGTTTTGGACACCTAGCGCAGCATGCCCAAAAAATAGCAGTTCCCCAAAAGCCTTCGGCTTTGATAAGAGATTCCGAAGGAAGACCAAGTTGCGGACTGCCATCTACACGCTCGACTGGCATCGGCAGATTTTTCTTTCTTTCTTTCTTTCTTTCTTTCCTTCTGTGTGTCTGTCTTTCTTTCTTTCTACCTATCCACCTATCTACCTTCCTACCTTCCCATTTGTCCATCTCGCGAAAGCGCTGCGCCTGCCGTGGAATCTGTACCTGACCTTGCGAAAGTGTAGGGCGCGTGCCCGAGCCAAAAAGCACGCGCGTCCGTGCCAAGGGGCGCGGCTCTCAAGAGCGCTGCGAGCAGGCGTCGCGATCAGGCGAACTTTTGAAGGAGCCGAAACTTGCCGAGGGCTGCACTCTTTGGACAGTTCTATTCCACTCGCGGCACGCGCGCGCATTTTGTTTGTGCCTGGATATATTCTTCTCTTGTCTTCTGTCAGGGCGCAATCTTTCAAGTTCGCGTACCACGGAAGTTCCGTCTAAACGTCCGAACTCGCTTCCCCTGTGGCAGGGTCTGTGGAGTACCCGATGGTAGATGATGCTAGGTCCCCAGTAGTGCCCTTTTACCCATTTTGTGGGGAGGGTCACCTACCAAAATAGACTACAAAAAAAAGGGTACCCTTATTCTAGCCTCTCAACTGGAGGACCTAGGATGTCAACCCGCATGCCGACCAGAATGAAACAGCCTGGTGGATGAATAGGGAGGGTGTTGGTCCAAGGCACGCATTATCCGGATTCCCTCTAAAATGGGCTTCTCCATCAAAATCAACCAAAGGGTTGCCATGGGTTGGCGAAAGCGATCGGAGGTGCAGCTGGCTGATGTGGATCCTGGCAGGGCACTGCCCCTCGATCATATCCTGGTTACACAAGGGGGCCACGAAGATCCCTGGAGGTACTCCTCGATTGGGGTTTTGGAACGGTAGCTTTCATTGAACTATTTAGCGAGCGCCGGCACCATGGCACACCCCACCTAGCAAGGACGTACATACTGAAGCAATGCTTAGCAAGTTACCACAAGCTCAGTCGAGGCGCGGTACCATTCAGGCTAGCAGGGCTCACTAGCTAGAAATTGGGCGGACGTCAAATCAAGGGACACCATGGTCGGTTTAGTCCCCGCAAGGGCCCGCTGTGAGCGAAATTAGCATCGCGAACGCGAGGGCGAGGGGACCCATGCCGCTCCCAGGCTCCCAAACCCTCAGAAACCATGTGCCTGTTGGAGCCCACCCCTTAGGGTTCGCTCAGTTGAGCAGCGCGAAGGAAGCTTGGAGCGACACGCTGTGGAAAGTTGTAGAAGGTGTTCTCATATGTTCTCATATCACCGTGTGACTGGCTTCTTCAGCGGCCGTAGTGGCCGTGGGCATGCATGCAATCCAATTGCTCTGGGTGCCAGCTGTTCAGGGCGCCCCCTCCCGAGGTTCTCCTTGCAGTCTGCCGAGTTGGAAGCGAGGCGCAGCAATCACGGGCGGGTGGCTAACTGGCCACGTGGGATTTCCAGCCGCGAGCATTTGGTGGTGTTTGATTTGTGTTTTTCTCATCCCAGTTCTTGGAGGGTGTGTGGGGAGCTGCGCCTCACAACTCACTTTCTGTCTGGGGGCGCGCATCCCAATCAAAGTCAACCAGCCCTGCTCTTCCCTTACCACTGGAGCTGCAGAAGGGCGTTTGCCGTGTTGCAACTTGCACATGTCCGCGCCGGCCGCGGGCACCTGCCAGGCTCAATGTCATTCTGCTGCTGCCAGATGGCCGGTGGCACGTGTCCTCCATGGAGAAGTCTCTTGACAAGAGCTTGTCCTTGATGGTGTCCGGGGGGCCGAAGTACCATTTAATATCATTTGTTTTGGGCAAATCATGGCGAGCTCTGGGGCTAAAACGAGGTCACTCATTGTAGATTGCACTTGTGAATTCCCCATGAGTCCAGTTTGTGAATCATTTCAACTTTCCATGGATTTCTTGGGCTCCAGTGGCAACACTCGCCTGCGCAACCAAGCACACGGCTCTGGAATGGCGCAAACCCACTAAGGGTTCCGCAGCTTGCTGGATATAGGGGGTATTATGGCGACTACAGTGACTACAGTTGCATACAGGGGACTCAAACATTGATATGTTTCCCTTGTTTTCCTCAAAGCAAGTATGATTTGGAGTTGTTTTAAACATCATTTTGTCTTGGCAGTCAATCTTGACTGAGCGCTTCTGTCCGGATGTTGAAGAGAACCCGTGTACGAATCTCAAAAGTCGAGCGTCTGACTGTCTATGACAGCGTCCTTTTTTCCCTTCAAAGGCGGTCCGGGGTGGCACCAGGGCATTCGAAGAAGCCACATGCTTGTCCTTGTGGCGGGTTGTAAATGAAAACCATGAGGAACCCCCCTCCTGTTTTGGCGGGGGCCCTTGGATTTTGAGAGACCAACCCAGGGCATGAGGAAGAATTGCCAAACGAGCGGGTTGATGTTGAGAGGCCACCCGCTCTTTTTCATCGGAAGCCTCGCAAGTTCCATCTCTCTTGCGCCCGAGGCTAGTGCTGCAGCTGCGCGAGCCGCCGCTGGGCTTAGGGTTTAGGGTCTCGGGGTCGCCCAAGCAACTGGCAGCGTGGGAAACCACCAGACGGCTTCCGGGTTAGTCTTGCGAGATAGCTCTTGCTACGTGTGTGGCTCTGTCACCATGGTGAAGGCTTGCGGCCTGCAATGCTCGGGGTTCCTTGTCGAGCCTAGGAGCGAGCTGAAGAATTGGGTTCTCAGCTTTCCTCAACCGGGAGGCTGGTTCCGGGGGCCACGTGAACCCGAGCGACAAGCCGGTCCCCCAAGAAATTGAGTTTTGCTCACCAGCAGATGTGACAACCTGCAATCCTTGAAAGGTTAGTATGCGTGCCTCTGGCTCTTCAGTGGTGCCGTCTAGCCCGTTTTTTTTTTGTCCCCCCCCCCTTTTTTTTTGCGGGCTTAGTAGAAAAGGATCAACCCCAAAAGGCCTCCCTTTTACCAGTTGCCCATTGGGCTGGGTCTTTGTTGCAAAGCCGCGGGCCTCCGAATTGCCAGGACCCTCTTCAAAGGGTCGGCTGCTGCCGATCTGAAATCGTAGAACTTGGCCGCGATCATTTGAGCCTCTGCGCGGAAGGCACATGCCGGCGGCACTTATATGCGCTTGGCTTCCAGGGAGTGATCTTTTATCCCGTCCCAGGTTGCAGAAATTATGTTTTCGGGACTGCCATCTTTGCAAGCCAAGAGCCTGGTTTGCAATCAGCGCATGCTCTTCAAATTGCCATCAACACAAATAGACACTGAGCCTGGCAATTCACGGCAGCACCGCACCAGAAACAGAGCAAGCAAGTCGGCATGGTGGATGCGTTGTTTGAACCTTGCAGGGCGGCATGTGACCGCGTCCCTTGCCATTTATTTCTTTGGCTTGTTCACATGCCCCGCGCGGAGCCTTGCAGCCCATCGCTCGACAAATTGGCTAGGCCCAATGTTGGCCAGCTGTCCGCCGCAAAAGCGGCCACGTGGGGAAGAGACGGAGAAAACTGGTTCTCAGGCCCATCGGAGCCTCGCCTCAGCATGCTGAGTGTTTGCGACCTGTGGTGTGCGAGCCCCGTTCCATTCAACGCCAACTCTTGCAGATGAATTTCAGAAGGACTATTGCACAAATGCATGCTGTTCCGTGTCTGTGCAAAAAAAGAAGAAAAAACATGTGGGTGTGGCTCAAAATCAAACAGGATGGGCACACCGCAGATCTTGGTACCCATGTTTCCACTTACCGATCGGGCCACCCACGGTGCTACCGGTTTTTGAGCCACAGCCGATGGCTTCCGACAGCTCGGCCTCGAGGCCTTGCGGGCGTCCATGGCTCCACTGCTGGAGGGCCACGAGGCGCGAGGTGCTGGCAGGAGAAGGTGAGAAGGCCATGCTGCCCTAGGTCCCCCAGCTAGGTGCTCTTTTACCCTTTCTTTTTTTTTGGGGGAGGGTTCCCCTACAAAAATAGACTGCAGAAAAAAAGGGTCCCTTAGTCTAACCTCTCTATTGGAGGACCTAGTCCCTTTTGAAGGAAGGGTGGGAATTGACCATCCGTTCAACTTGCAATGATGTCAAGGGCGCACGCGGGCGTTTACCAAGCCGAAGGGTGCACACTCCGGATGCCCATCATTTCGGTGCATGTTTCGGAGAAGGAGACCGCAAGGAACCAACCCAAGTTTCGACATGCACGCGGAGCCGTTCAGGTGTACGTGCAACCCAGCACGCCTGCACAAGTTGGGATGTGCTTAAATCCACGTGGAGCTGTAAGCCTCGCTTCACTACGATTTCAGCCCGCCATGCATTTCGGCTCGAAGATGATCCTACAGGCCCCATGTAGCCCAGGACCAACTCCCACATAATTACTCATGGCAGCTGGCAAGCAGCCCAGCAACAAGTCCGACTACTGGAGATGAAGTGTTTCGAACAAGTGGTAACCAGAAAGGCAATATATGCCAATGCCTTGGAAGAATGCAGGAATGTCAAGCCATGGACAGCGACTTTCTTGCATGAGCAAGTATGGTGTGCTAGCCTCAGTCAGAAGTGAATGCGTGAAATCTACGGGCCGGTCGCCGCATGCCACTTTTCGGGCACTTGACCACTTGCCGCTGTTGTTCATAGTACTTACTCAAACCACAATCCGGATTGCTGATCTGTGCCGTTATGTGTGTTGATTTCCCGTCAGGGCTGGTTTGCACAATACGGACGGCAGTCATGGGGTCTGAAAGGGCAACTCCGAGCCCACAGTATCTCAGTCCGATTGTTTTCTGGGCATCAAAGGGGGGTTGGCACTTCTTGCGCCGGAAGAGCCAAAGGTCACTTTGGGGCCTGAAGGCAACTGCCGGTCGCATGAATGTCGCCTCGGCCGCTGCGCGAAGTGGCTGAGGCGTTTCATTGCAAGCCTCGTTGCGATAGCTGGGGGCTGTGCCTTGCTCTTCGCCTGGTGGCTATGGGCAGAGGCATCGTCTCATAAGCCACCGGCACATTGGTCTCGAGTTTCTCTAGAGCCCCTGCTCTGGAATTAGCCTCCCCATACTCTTCCAGTCAAGTTCTCATCGAGTTTTTTTTTTTGGCGCCCGGTTGCTAGTTGATTCCGCAATGATGTATCGCTCCGAAATTTAGGAGTGCGTGCCGTAGCCATTTTGGCTTGAAGGTCGCTTTTTGGAGCCGTTGATGTCGGACAGCCCACCCCGCTGTGTAATTTGCCAGCGGTGGTGTGCTGACCTTGGCCTCAGCACCTGCCGGTGCTGCCGCGCTTTGCGTGGACTTAGGAGTGTGGTGGAAAACCCACTCCTAGGAGGTCTGGCGATCGGGAAGGTCGCCAACCTCCTTGAGGAAGGCTCTGGGTTCGGCCCAGAGTTTGGTTGCTGACGAGGAGGTTAGGAGGGAGGTCGGGGCCAAGACTTTCCCTCCTGCGCAGGAGGTTTGCAAGGCAAAGGCCATCGCTGCCAGCACCCTGCCACCTCCTAACTGGAAGCCAACTTCGAAAGCTTCCCAGTCTGAGCCCAGGACCACTTCGGCCCAGGACACAGAGGAGGTCAAAGCAAAGGAGTTGGAGCGCAAGAAGGAGAAGAAATCTCCTAGGAGAGGGCGGGGATCGCGCTCTCCTGAAAAAGAAAGGAGGAGGGGGGATCGGTCTCGGGATCGGCAAGAGAGAAGGAGGCGCAGACAAAGTCCGACCCCGGGCGATCTGCCTCCTGAGGAGTTGTCCTTGAGGCCCAGGTCCCCACTACGGCCGGCGCTGAGCACAAGAGTCAAAGAGGAGGCACGTGCGGCGGAGGAGCGGTCAGGAAAGGGCCGCTTCGTGGAGTCCTCGGAGGAGAGGCCCAACTCCAGGGATCGCCAGGCACCGAATCCTGGGGGCCTGAAGAAGAAGAAAAAGAACAAAGGGCGAAAGCGGTACACATATTGGGGCCAGAAGTTGGGCCGGTGGCAAGAAGCGAGTGAAAAACAGAAGGGGCGCTATTGGGTTGCCCAATGATTAGGAGGCGGCCAGCAGCTGCTCCTCCTGTTTTAAGAAGGCCCGCAGCACGCAGGCGAGTGGAGCGGGCTGAAGACAAAGACGGATGGCAAGTCCTTGGGTGCATCGACGAGGGCGAGATTGCCATGGGGAGCTGCATCCACGCGACTGGGGAATATCGGAAAGAGGCTTGCGAGATCATAGCAAGAGTAGACGGGTATGTCTCAGACACAGCGGGCCGGTGGCTGAAGCTCAGCCTTTGCGGCACCCCGTGCGAGGGCTTGAGGAGCTTCGTCCTGACCCGTGCAGAAGAGCAGGACCAGGCGATTTTCATGAGCCGTACAGCAGTCGACCTCGGCAACCAGGAGAACCTCCTGGAGTTGTTCTACGGCCGGCAGTGGAGACCACACGCGCTCGGAGCTGCTGGCGCACCGCCTTGAACGCAACGTGGAGAGTGTTCCACGGAGCGGGGACGCAGTGGACGAGGGCGAAGAAGTGGCTCAGAAGATGGGTTTCGAAGAGAAAGGACATGGTCTGGTCAAAGCAGGAGCAGGTGCCGTGGAGAAACCTTTCGACGTGGCCGACGAAGAGCTGAGCAAGGAACAGAAAAAGAAGCAAAGAAGGGCTCGGGAGAAAGCAGCCAAGAGAGACATGGAGAAGAAAGCTCAGTGGAGTTGGAAGGGGACAGTGCTAGATCCCACCATCAAGCCGCCGTGCGTGAAAGTGAAAAAGAAGTCAACGCAGAAGGCTTCCAGCAGCTTGTCATCGACCTCGTCGGAGGAGGGCTCGTTGGAGGAGATCTTCGAGGAGTCGAACAAGATCAGGCAGATGGCAAAGAAGGTGCCGGGGATGCTGAGCCGTCACACCTTGAGCGAATGCAAGTCAATCCTGGCCCAAGGAGTGGGAGAGGCATCAAGTTCCATTGTGGGGCCAAATTGCATGGTGAAGTACTACCGCCAGGAGATCCGGCCCGGGCCAAAGCCAATGAAGAGAGAGTGGCTGACCGTGGCCTCGGCGATGGATACGCTAATGAAAGGAGGGGCCTTTGAAAGCCCTCGGCATGCTGTGCCAACGGGCGAAGAGCTTGGAGGCCATGGCGAGGGGCGCTTCTCCCGAAGTAGCTTTACAGCTGGAGGTCCCACTCACCGAGTTGGCTGGGCTGGCTTCAGCGACCGAGGCGAAGAGTGCAAGCGCCGAATTCCAACAAGAAAGGAAAGTGCAAGATGGCCTGCTTGGCAGATCATGGAGCCGGTCGAGCACGCAGACACCTCAGCAAGAGCAGAGCTGGGAAACACGATGGAGCCCCAAAGCAAAAGGCAAGGGGAAAGAGAAAGAAAAGGGCAAGGCAAAGGACAGCAGGGAGAAAGCAGACAGAAGTGATGCGTCCTCGGTGACCGTCTCGTCTGAAAGCTTAGGAGGAGAAGATGTCATGATCCTCTCCTCCTCCGATGAGGATTCGGCCAAGGTGTCGGCTCCTTTGCCTTGCGTAGGGGCGATACCTCCCTGCTCTGATTTGTATAGTGCCAGCGCAGAGCTTTTGGGGATGCGCGACAAAATTTTCCACCTAGGGAAGCAGGTGAAGTTGCCACGAGACGGGGGAGACATGCTTCCCGCTCCCAGTCCCCACGTCATGTGAGGCCTGGGCCAAGTTGGCTGGGACGTTTCACAGCCTGACACACCGATCTGCACTCCAGTGCAAAAGAGGCTGCTGGAGTGTGTGAGGCAGGAGTCAACTTTGGTCGAAACCTCCCCTCCCCAATGAGGCGCCTAAGCTTTTTTGGAGCCAAAGGCATGTGAACTCTTACGGGGAGGAAGTGCATGTTGCCAAACAAGTGAGGTGGGCAAATGTTTCAAGCAGCATGCCGGCCAAAGGCTTGGCAGGTGTGGTCTCAGCTTCAGACGTTTGTGTAGGCGGAGTAAAGCATTACATTGAGTATTTGAAGCCACAGTCTCACAGGGTGTGGGAAAGATGCCGTCAAGTCAGGGTCGCAGAGGCCGATTGGGCCGAGGTGGCAGCGGGGCTGCTTGACCGGGGGATCTGTTCACTGATACCTCTGGAAGAGGTTTTCCAGGCCGAAGGTCGGCCCGTTCTAAATGGGATGTTTGGCGTTCCAAAGGGCGAAAAGGAGGCTTCAGGGGTAGAAGTGTTGCGGCTAATCATGGACTTACGGCCCAGCAATTCTCTCTTTCAGCCTTTGGGAGGGGACCTTGGGACCCTCCCGATTCTCTCCCACATGAATCAGTTTTCATTGCATCCGCACGAAGACCTAGTGATCAGTAGCGAAGATGTAAAAGCGATGTTTTACGTCATCAGCATTCCCCCTCAATGGAAGCCTTTTCTTGCTTTTGGAAAGCTAGTGCCCAGTTGCTTGCTGCCCCCCGGGGAGAACCGGCCTCATGTGTTAACAAGCCGACTTAAAGGCGACTGACCGTGCAGGCTTGGGGCGGGGGCAGGAAATAAGACGTGACAAGAATTTCCCTGAAACTGATTTGGCCTTCCGTGTCTACCTTGACAATTTTGACACACTCGCTAAAAGTAGCAAGGAAGCGGCAGAGTTGATTGAAGGCACCAGCTCGGAGGTTGTCAGTTCGCTTTTGGCCGAATACCAGACTCACGAAGTCCCACGAAATGCTAAGAAGTCGGTCGCCCAACAGCGACAAGCTGAAGTGCAAGGGGCCTTAATCGATGGGGTGGCTGGGCGTGCAGCAGCCAAGCCTGAGAAGTTGTCTCGCTATGTCTGGGCTTCAAAATTTTTGCTTTCACAGCAGAAGCGCCGCCAAAAGCAAATTCAGGTTGTGGCTGGGGGCTTGGTGTATGCTGTGAGCTACCGTCGGTTTATCATGTGCGCCATGAATGAAATCTGGGCCTTCATTACTTCTTTCCAGTCAGCCACAGAAGAGCAGGTCATTCCTCGCCGTGTGAAGCAGGAAGTTTGGGCAGTGTTGGCGCTTTTGCCTCTTGCAAGCATGAACTTTCGTCGGGCCTATGATGCAGTGGTAAGCTGCTCGGACGCGTCCGAGAAAGGCGGAGGCCTTTGCGTGTCCCATAGCTTGACTGGGCGAGGACTGGCCGCACTGAGTCTGCCGGTGAGAGGGGAGTACGTCTCAGCTCCTGATGATCATCGGATCTTTGTTGTGAGCTTGTTTGACGGTGTTGGCGCGTTGCGGGTTGCTTTGAATGTCCTGGAGGTCCCAGTTGATGGTTATGTGTCAGTTGAAAAGGATGAAGATTGCCGTCGGACGGTTGGGTCGCACTTCCCTGGCTGCATTTTCTTGGGGAACACAGCTCAGGTAACCCAAGACCGCGTGAAGGAGTGGGCGTGTCGCTTTAGCCGTGCTGTTAGCTGGTGCCCCTCCTTGCCAAGGGTGAGCAAGTTGAACGCTAACCGGCGCGGAGCTGAGGATGACACTCGCTCTTGCTTGTACCATGAAAGGGCGTGTGCGTGCTTTGCTGACGGCTGAATTTCCTTGGGCAAAAGTCCATTTCCTCATGGAGTCCGTGGCCAGCATGGATGCGCACGACCGTGAGCGGTACACTACTCTTGCGGACGTTCTTCCGTATGAGGTTGATGCAAGGGGGGTTTCGCTTGTGCGCCGCCCGCGTCTCTTTTGGTTTGATTGGGTTGTCAAGAGTGAGGACGGCATCTCCATCACGCTGCCTAGTTCTAACCAGAAGGATGCTATGGGCCAGATTGCTGGAACAGTAGAGCTGTTGGAGAAGGATTGGCTGCCTTCTCAATGGAAATTAGCAGGTGGGGCGAAGCATCGCCTGCCGACTTTCACAACAGCCCAGCCTAAGCTGAGCCCAGGTCTGAAGCCAGCGGGAATCCAGAGCTGCAGCCAAAGGGAATTGAACCATTGGAAAGCCGACCGTTTCCGCTTTGCCCCGTATCAGTATAAGCATGAACATGGACTTGTTCATCCGGTCAAAGGGTGGCGCATGCCAGAAATTGAGGAGAAAGAAGCCTTAATGGGTTTTCCCATTGGTTACACCGCAAAGTGTTGCCGAAAACTTATCCGGAAACAAGAGCCTATCCGGGTAGACGATGTGCGCCACTCTCAGATCGGAAACTCATGGTCCATCCCAGTGGTTGCGCTTCTGTTGAAACACTTGCTCAGACCGTACCGGCTTTGTCGTGATCTCACCCCTTTTGAAATTGCAGATGCTTGTGAACCAGGTGGAGGTCGCACTCTCAGTGGTTTCCTCTTTCGACCCCCGTATGCTAAAAGGGCCATGGAGGAAGCAAGCCTGGACGACCAGGTCCAACTGGTGCGCAAGGTAGCAAAGCTGATTTCGGCGCATGGTTCTGATGTTCTTTTGACACCTGAAAGCGAACCCTTGCCTGCTTTCCATCGGTTGCGAACCGGCCTAAGCTCCAAATTGTGGCAGTGGCGGACCATATGCGGTTGGCATTGGCGCCGAAGCCCTGGACAAGATCCAGAGCACATAAACAAGCTAGAGCTCAGGGCCCTGTATACCGCCTTGAAATGGCGGGTGGAGCGTCAAGGGTTGTGTCAATCGCGTTTTCTGCATTTGTGTGACAGCATGGTCAGCCTTCACATTGTCAATAAGGGTCGGTCAAGCAGTCGCAAAATGCGATGGTTGATGCGCCATTTGTGTGCTTTAGTGCTTGCTGCCGGTTTGTCCCCCATTTTGGCTTATGTAGACACTGCTGATAACCCCGCAGATAGACCTTCTCGACACCCCCAAAAGCGGAAATGGGCCGCATGATCATAGAGCACCGTGACCAGGCAGAGCGGGCAAAACAGCGAAAAGCATTGGGTACTCTTAAGGAGCTCACTGTAAAATTGTCCACAAAAAAGCGGTATGACAAGGCAGTGTGCGCCTGGTTCAATTACCTGGCGCGCCACCAAGTGCACTTGCCTAAGCACCCCGAACTTGTGGATGAAATTCTTTTCGGCTATGTCGAAGACTTGTGGGAATCTGGCGAGAGCCGTTATCTGGCAGCCGACACGGTGTGTGGATTGCAATATCACCAGCCTACGTTGCGCCGCAAACTGGTTCAAAGCTGGCAAGCCTTGAAAACGTGGTCACGCTTGGAGGTGCCTGCAAGGGCGCCACCGCTAACTCCTCAGACTTTGGATGTCTTGTCAGGAGCTTTGCACTTGCAGAGTCCTTCGCTGGGGCTTGCCGCCCAAGTGGCTTTTCGTGGTTTACTTCGCACAGGCGATTTGCTTGCAGTGAAAGCCGCTGACATCACGTTTGCTCATAACAACGCAAAGGCCTTTGTGCAACTGCATGAATCCAAAACCATGAGGACTAACCCTGCCACTCGTCTGGTGGCAATTAGTGACTACAAGGTCGTCACACTGTTGAGGGCTTGGAAAGCCTCCGTGCCAGGTACTGCAAGTTTAGTGCCTATGCCACCTCACCAATTCCGAAAAGGCTATGGTTTGGCATTGGCTAACGCTAATCTTGGGTCCTATGGTTTCAAGCCATATTCCCTTACGAGGGGCGCAGCCACAGAACTTTTCCTAACCTGCCACTCCTTTTCAACTGTCACTCAGCATGGCCGTTGGGCTTCAGAGAGGACCGCTCGAATCTACATTCAAGATTCCCTGGCCTTGCTCACAGAGCAGAACTTTCAAATGAATGCGGCACACCGCAAGTTCTATTCGCATTGGCAACATGTTAGCTCCCTTGAGCCTCCTAAACGGATAAACAGGGGACGTGGAAGGGTGCACTAGATGTTTGTTTTTTCTCGCCGACTTATGGCCCCAGACGCGCACATGTTTTACGTGGCCAGTGCGCTTTAACCTTTGACGCGCTTTATCTTGTTGCGTTTTACCGGGGAGAGTGCACTCTTTCACGGGCTTTGGCAAAGGTTTCATCCAAATCAGAGATGGCTGGATTTGCAAAGGTTGCATCCAGATCAGAGATGGCTGGATTTCGATTTGTACTAACTTGTCTCACTTGCTTGCCTGAAAAGACAGAGGTATGTGCTCCTTGATGTATCGCTCCGAAATTTAGGAGTGCGTGCCGTGGTCTTTTCGGCTTGAAGGTCGCTTTTTGGAGCCCACCCGCCCGCCCAACGGAAGGGTGCACTAGATGTTTGTTTTTTCTCGCCGACTTATGGCCCCAGGCGTTGCGCACATGTTTTACGTGGCCAGTGCGCTTTAACCTTTGACGCGCTTTATCTTGTTGCGTTTTACCGGGGAGAGTGCACTCTTTCACGGGCTTTGGCAAAGGTTTCATCCAGATCAGAGATAGCTGGATTTGCAAAGGTTGCATCCAGACCAGAGATGGCTGGATTTCGATTTGTACTAACTTGTCTCACTTGCTTGCCTGAAAAGACAGAGGTATGTGCTCCTAAGAATCGACTTGGCGGTGCTTGAGCGATGCATTGCCAGATCCCGAGGAGCCTAGGCCTTGACCCCATGGCAAAGATTTGCTTAGCTGAAGAGAAGCTGGCATTGCTCAGGGCCCTGTCCCCCAAACCCGTGACAGTGGCCTGCAATTGGCAGATACTGCCACTTGACCTTGTCAGGAGCCCAGCTAGTTTTGACAGGGATTCGTGAAAAAATATTCACTGCGACTCATGCGTGGCAGTAAATTTGAAGCACGACAGGAGCACCTGTTGCTTGTCGTGTTGCCATGGTCATGCAAAATGACCGGCGAGAAATGGGCAGAAGCTGATGCCAACTGCAACCGGAAGGGAGTTCAATCCGCGTAGCCAGTAAGTTAAGGTTATGTACACCAAGCCTTTTGTAGGGACATGTTCCTTGGGGCTTAGTAGGGTTATTTGCTGGGGATGTGTTCATCACCTCTGAAGCAATTTTAAGTTTGGTTCCTATTCGTGGATGGTGTTTGTATAAAGGACAAGGATTCAATGCAACGGTTGCGTTGGTGTGTTTTCCCCTTCCCGTCTGGGAGGGGGGGGCCGAACGAGGGGCCATCAGAGGGAACGAGACCCCAGGGCCACCGCTCCACCGCTGGCCAGGTGCCGCAGAGCGAAGAGTACACGCTGCTCTTCGAGGACGAGCGTCTCACGCGCTTCTCTGAGCATTGCGCGGCGGAGGCGGATTCGGGTTCACGAAATGCCGAGTCCAGGCGTCCAGGGGTCCAGGTGGCACGTCCGATGTGCGGTGCTTTGGGCTCTTATAGCGCAAAAACGGGAGGGTCGGAGGGGGAGGGGGGGGGGGGGTTGAAACCCTTACAGCCACCAACCCCCTTTTCCTCTCAAGGTGCCCTTTTGATTCGGCAGGGTGAAATGCAAGAAGTCCCAACCTGGCGTGTTCTTTGGATTTTGGAAGTGGCCGAGCCATCCCCACACGGTGGGAGCCTTTGTTCTAGAACTATCACGAGTGGGACGGCAGTCCCGGCTGAGAACGGGGATGCTCCCAATCCAGAGGCCTTAAGGAGCAGCTTGGACAGGCAGCCAACCAGCAAACGTGAAGCAGAATGCTCTGATTGCGGGCAGGGTGCGCGCGCTTCCGGGTGATTCCGTGTGTGTTGCCAGACTCAACTCACCTCTTTCCCCTTTTTGCAATTCAGAGTTTCCTTCATGTTCTTTCCATGTTTAGCTCGCCAAAAATTAGTCGGTCGTTTGCGGGGCCTGATTGATGTTGATTTGGGTTGAGGGGCGCTGGATCACGCTGGGAACCCGAACCCCCCCATGGTATTGTCTTATTGCCTTATTACTTCATGGTGTAAAAGTGGAGAGTGCCCCTTGGTATTCCAAGCTTGTGTCACAAACATGTTGGCCGATCTTATTTCCGCAGACCCAACTTCCCAGACTAGCCTTTAAGGCCCCGACGGCATCAAACTTGCTGGTTTCCGGAAGGGTTGCCAAGAATGTTGGGAATAAGCCCTTAAGCCACCTTCAGGGTCATGCCAACTCATCCCAAGGATTGAGAAACGCCGAGCCTTGCAGAAACTCGGCCTACATGTTTTTGGTTTCCCTTTGGTGTCCCATGCTGAGACTCGCGCCATCGCGAGGTATTCCTGGAAGAGCTTCCGGCGCTCGAGACGGGCGCGGTGCTGCACAGCGCAGTGGTCTTCCTGGGCCATGGCGAGGCGGGGTTGGCCGGGCACCCCCCCGTTCTTGTGGGGCGCTTTTGTAGAGGAAAACCCACACGGTCCTTTTTGAGCGAAGCTGCCATTTTGGAAGCGAGACAGAAATGTATCACCCAGGGTTTCCCTTTTGAGTCATTTTCGTGGCTTAGGAAACCAACCAGTTTGTGTCCCTTACTTTGAGACGGTCACCCAAGTAAGTTTGTCGTATGAAGGTAAATTTAAGGGCAACATGAAACTTCTGATGTTATTTGGGCTCCTTTGGGGGGGGGGAGGGGGCGAACCGCCAATGGAATTTTGGATGTTTTCCAGACTCGCATTCATGTTAGCAGCGTCACAGGGATAGTTGAGAGATGAACAAGACGCAATGTTCAATTGTTTCGGGGAGCCAGGAGATGGAGGTCCGGCCTTTGCTTGCACATGAGTTGGATGTGGGTGGCCCTTGTTTGGATGACAATCTTCATGATGCCTCCTGCTCGAGAAGCCCCGTAACAAATGAGGGCTCCCGTTTGGCGAGTTCCTTTGTTCCAGGAGATGCGCTGGTTCAATCAAGGCTGACCATTGATCAATGACCTGCACGTTGTGCGAACTGGTTGGTACAGACTATAAGCTGGGTTTTGGTCGGCCTGCGGGTTGCAGCTTTGGGAAAGCTGCTCCCGCCTCGCCCGCAGAAACACGCGGGACAGAAATCTAAAAGCGTAAGCATCGCCCTGGTCAGGCGCAAGAACGGCTAGCTACAGCCCATTGCGACACAGGGGCCAGAGGGTCACTCATATCAAAAGCTCTGCAAGTGACAGACATGTGAAAAAGGGCCACATTCAACTATAAACCATAGACCCTCTGGACGCAACGGCAGAGAGAGAGAGAGAGAGAGAGAGAGAGCTATAAACCACCTGCTTCCTCCTTGGAGAAGACTATGTGCGCACCAGTCTGGTCCATTTGCTCCTCAGTGAGAGAACGTTTTTGGGGACCTCACGACGTTTATTGACCTCCCAGGTGAGTCCATCGCAGGGCTGGCCAGACGACCCCCGGCCCAGCTGGGACTGCCGCCCTGCGGACCTCCCGAGACACTGGCGCTTGAAGCTCGACGATTGAGAGCTGAAAGGGCAGCTGGGTTTTTCCCAAAGGAGCGCCCTGTGGAACTGGGGAAAGGGCATTTGCGGTTTTGCTCGTTGTATGGGGGTGCCCCAAAATGGCAGAGTTTTCCTTTGCCCCTTTACATAAGCCATCCGTCCCCCCCAAAAAAACGAAATGAGGTGCCCTCGAGAAAGACACCCGTCGACAAACATGGATGCGAGCTCACCTCGTAAAAACGGGCCGCAACTTGATGGACATGGAAGTTGTACACGTGATGGCGGCTTAGGGATTTCATATTGGTTAGACATGGGAATTGGCGTAGGTAAGGAAACACACGGCAGCCCTGGGCTGCTAGCGCCATGCAGTTGTGCCATGTTGCCCTCCCCTGGCGAGTCAGAAGACGAGATAGACCGCGTGTAGGTGCGCGGGAATGTGGGAGAATGGACCCGTACTGATGTGTTTTAACTCTCCCCCGGAACGCGGGCGAGCTGAAACGAAAGCGACCCAAGATGGTAAATTCTGGTTGTCCAGCTCGGGCTGATCCAAGGCCATAGACCCTGGCACCATCTGGCACCTGAATGAAACAGGTCAGCCCGGAAAGGTTCCCCCCCCCCCCCCAACTGGTCAGTCCCAGATCGGCTCCGATTGATTCGCAGCGGGTGTTTTATTGGTTGGGTCGGCTGAGGTTCCGGGGCCCGGTTATTTCGTGATGCTCTTCCGCAGATCCAAAAAAAAAGAGGAAAACAACAAACAACAACAACCTCGGGGTGTTGACTGCAGCGCATCCGCTTGAGTCAAACTGGAGCACACCACACACCCTCCCCTAGCCTCCAGTAACATGGACGCTCTTTGGAAGACTTGGTTCCATTTACGGAGGCCTGGGAGCTTCCCCCTGGTTATTCATATTTCGGGTGTTTTCCTGGTTTTAGTGGGAATTCAGGCCACTTTTGGAGGGGCCCCCAAGCAACCCCATTTCCACAAGCAGGTTGCTTGATCCATCCGGGGCAACTCGCCCAACGGGGGCGAGCTCGCGCGCCAAACCCATGGGACTCGAGGAATCAGCAGGTGGAGTTCCAGGCCCTCGCGCCGGATGGGCAGTTGGAGAGGCTCCACCGGAGTCGAGTCGTGTCGATCGGATGGCGGTGTGGCTTCAAGTTGGTGCGAGAGATGGGGATGAGAGATGCAAATGAACATGTCCATGGTTTGCTCTAAGGAAATCCCAAAACCCTTCATTCCCACATCTTTTTACCGAGCACCAGCAAGTCAAGTTGACTAAAACAAACACACACTCGGTTGTCCAAGGCAGCCCTTTTGACCTGTTGGTTTCCTGATTTGGTCCATTTTTGCGCATGGCCCCAAAAGGTTAGCCTTTTTTTCCACGTTCTTTGTGCAAGTGGGCAAAAACTGGGGCAAACAGGGCAAAGACTATGGATTCTGGATGAACTACCTTTGAGTTCCCTTTGAAACCACCCCAACCCCTCAAACGTGACGCATCTTCAGTTCCCTTTTGAGTGGTCAGCTGCGCATCCTGCGGCTTGTGGGACTGTGAATTTCCTTGTGGCCCCTCCATGTGTCGCACCCACATGTTGACCCCGGATTAAGAAACCAGGCACTTGGTTTTTGCGTGGGGGGGGAGGGGGGGGAGGCCCTCCAAGTGAAGGGTGCTCTTCAAAAGGGTTTCATCCGCCTAATCTGCAGCTCACATGGGGCCAACACAGCGCAGGTTGATTCATTTCGGGTTACTATCACATTTGGCAAGTACTTGCAGGATGGTCTTGTTTTTCCTGGGCGAGCTCGTGTTAACCCATGGCGCGCAGGTCCTTCGACCCGGAGCTCTTGCCTGACGACCCCATGGAGCCGCGGGCCAGGCGTTGTGCCAAAGGCCAGCTGACGGCAGGTGGCTTCAAGCCCTTCGCCCAGTTTATGGCGACACCGGGAGCTCACCTTGGCCATGTTGACCCCAGTTCAAAAGAAATGGCCATGGGTCAAATGCCCAATCGTACCCCCAGTGAACATCCCAATCCAACCACTAAAATAGGTTCTAACATGGGTGGTGAATTCACCTGCCAACCAAAATGGTACCATTGGTTTTGACCCACAGCCAAATGGGGGTGGTCCACTAAAACCAGGCAGACTCCCCTCTTAACAAACAGGGGTTGATGAATCTGGGGTCAACGTTCGGTCCTTTACTTGGGCATATGGTTTTTTAGTTGTCTTTCGTTTTGATGTTTATGTCGGGTTTTGGCATTTTACGTTTTTCAGATGGTTGTGGAAACGGGTTGTCGGGGCCTGCTGTCCCAAGAGCCACGGGTACGGACGATGCCCGTGAGATGTGGAAAGCAGGCTGGTGGCGTTGGCTCTTCTTCGGCGAACGGTGCGCGCATGTTTCTCAAGTGTGATGCCAAGGGCCCTGGCTCTTTTGCATGACCCAGGAATTGTGATGGGGATAGGGGGCCTGCTTTGGTTTCACAGAAAGGCTCGACGCAGTGGGGGTGCAGTTTGACTGGCCAAGTAGGGTAGCCATGATGTAACTTGTCTTCTTCTTCCTCCTGTTGGCGAAGCGAAGCCTGCGATTAAAACATGAAATGCGTGGACCTTAGGCCGCTGCTCCGTTTCCGTCCCTGGAGTGGGACCCTTGGTTTGGAGGCATCGTGAGCCGTGAGCGCACTCGCGCACCCATCGCCGGCACCAGACCTCGTCTCAGTCACTGAGGCAGGCTGTCCTCGCAGGCCGTCGCCTGGTGGCACGTTACGGGGAGGCGCTGGCAGAGGCCACTCTGGAGGCCGGGGAGCGAAGCGGCGATGCCATGAGGCCCTTGCTGGGACCAGCTGTTGTTTTTGCTTTGTTTGGGGCAACCCCCAGCAAGAACCAAGTCAAAAGGATCAGTTGTTTGAGGCAGCTTTTCCTGAACGCCCCAATCGCCGTCATGCTCATAATCAGGAAGGTCGGGCCGGCTTTTTGTTTGACACCCTGCACTTTGCTTCAACATGGTTGCTCAAGTAGTAGCTGGTGCTAGAATCGCTCCCCAGTTCCCCTTCAAGCGCGAAATGTTTTTTGCACGCTTTGGCAGTGGCGAGTGTGGACGCGAATCTTGCAACGCCTCGCGGCATTTCCTACAAAGACCCAAGCGATGTTGAGTCTGGGGCACTACGTGCCATTGGTCAAATCTTTAAAGTTACGGGCAGGCTATCACTATTGGGGCGATGTCCATTGTCCATAGGACTAGCAGGGTTTTCTGGTCCACTTGATGTTTGCCCCATTTGTTTATTGCCCCGGGTGAAGAGGCCCTTTGAGGGGCATTTGTCCTTTTTTCTTGATGGAAAAGGCGCCTCCGGGCCGGTGTCAGCCCAGGTGTATTTTTTCTTTGCAGGTGTCCGTTTTCCCTCTCACCAGCAACAAAAGGAATCAGTTTTCCCAACGGCTGCAGCTACAGGCACTGCGGTTTGGGGAGACCGTTCCCAGGCCACCCCCTCCCCCACCTCGCCCACCTCACCCCCCATTTTGAAGAACCCAAACCCTTGACTGCTATTGGGTTGGATCTTTGGACTTTCTCTTTTTGGGAAATAAAGGTGGACACCCCACTACCCCCCCAAAAGGTTGAACACTTTTTGCAGGGGTCAAGAGCAACCGAGAGCCCAGGTACTCAGCCTGCCCCAGCGGCCCTGCCTCGCTACAGCCGCGGGGGCGCTGCTGCCGCTCCTGCCGGGCTTCACCAGGGGCACGGTGCCTGGGTCTTTGAAAGGCGCGCGAAGTGGAGCGGAGGCCTTTGAATTTTACGCGGCGGTAGCCAATATGGGCATATGGGTATGTGTCAGATGGAAATCAACGGGGGGAAAAAGAGGTTCGATGATTTGCCCAACGCCCCTGAGTGGCAGCCAGGTCATTGTTAGCTTGAGTGCGCGAGGCGTGGCTTTGACATTGTAACTGGAAACCTTCACGCCTGCGAAGAACCTCAAGCAAGTTTGTGTGTGGTTGTTTTTGTTTGTTTGGTTGGTTTTCCTCCAAAATACCAGGTCTACAAACTTTGTCATGCACATGTCGTTTGGCAAGTGGGCGTGGGCAGTAGGACCCATGAAACCCAGGAAGCAGCAGTCCGATTTTGAGTGTCCTTGTTTTTCGAGCCCAAATGCGCTGGTGCAGACGCGCATCATGCCCCCGCAAGAATGTACAATGTCTTTGTCTTTGGCCTCACCCTTAAGCACCAACCTTGGCATTTGGCACCCTAGCTCCAGCAAGTTCTCTTGAGCCTGGGCACCAAGTACGATACAGAGGACAACCCCTAAGCCGGTTAAGCCTTGAGAACATAGGTGTCCTTTTTGGTTGTTTTGCTAGAAAATAGATGGCCCTGGTTTACCTGGTGGTTTAATCATATACCAGGGCCATCTATTTCCCCCAAAAGGACACCCATGTTTGAGAAGATCACCCCGTGGCTTGGCACCAAGCCGTCAAATCCGATCGTCAAAGTCACGTGCTTGACCTTGCATCGACCCTGCTTTGTTTAAGCTGTTAAAAGGGTAATCTATCGCTACTGGACATATGTTTATCCTTTTTGGGGACTTGAGCAAATGGAGGCTATACAAAGTGTTGGGTTTCAGACGTTTTTATCCTTTGAGGCCTGCTTCCATTCGCCACGCCCCATCGGCCGAGGTTTCAATCACGACGCTGGCCAGTGGAACCTTTGCCGATGTTCCGGATGCAGACGCGTTCCGCGAGAGCGAGGACTTGATGGCAAGGCGTGGTGCAGCTGGTCCCCTGTTAGGGCCAAAAATTGGCGCTAAGGCTGTTTTTGGTAATGGCTGCTTTGGGGAATGCACGGCAGCACGTGCAGTACTCGTACTTTGTTGGATTCCCACTTTTTTGGGTCAACCGTACCGCCAGCTGTTTGGTCAACCTCGGTGAGCTTTCATTGCGCTGGCGCAGATGCATCAGTAGCGGCATGAGCATAGTTGTCCTTTTTGTTTGTTTTGGCAGAAAAATGGATGGCCCTGGTTTACCTGGCGGTTTAATCATCTAGCAGGGCCATCTATTTCCCCTAAAAGGACACCTATGGGCATGAGCAGACGGCCAGCCCCACTTCAGAAGCACTCGCTCGGCAGGCCATAGTCCGGAGGCAAGACACGGTTAAGTATGCCTACGTTATGGTGAGCTTTCTTGTAGCTACCTCATGTCCGATTCTGAAAGTATAGACGTTGAAGAGACACAGTATGGTCTCCCTGGGACCCCATATGGCTGTTTTTGTTTAGGTCATACGCCTTTGACCGAAAAACATGCCATACGGATTTTCACGTTCTTTTTCAGCAACATGTCGAACAAATATGGGTTTCATACGGCTGATTTACGCGAAGTGTACAGGGTGCTTCAAATGTATCTACATCTATGCACCCCTTGGGGCCCAACAGTGCTGGTTTCCCATTCACTATATAAGAAGCTCACATTTGGAAATGGATGGGTGACACTCAGATTTTGACTTCCGGTGATATCCTCACCCTTTTTTGCTTGGTGGAATTTCCGGGCTTCGGGTCATTGGTTGCAACTGGGTCAGGTGGTGCCATGAGGGCACCTTGCCTTGCAGCCAGCAGGGCTGCTTGACGCCCGCGCATGTCGCGGCCAAAGTGAACGCGGCAGACGCGGAGCTGTGCGCAGAGGTGAAGCTGGCCAGGCAGGTTGTGGCGCGGTGTGTGTCAAAGCAAAAACACGAGGTGGTTTCCTTGGTTCATTTCGTTTAGCCTAGTGTCAGCACCCCTCCCCAAAAAAAAAGAAGAAAGAAGCCAGACAGAGCAAGAGAAAACAGCAGGTGGTTTTCTTGGTTCATTTCCCTTGAAACCAATCTGAAGTCGCTGCCCACAAACGTCAAGCTTGTTTGAAATACAATTTGGCTAAATGGGCGATAGGGCCGAAATTAGTAGAATTGGGTTGCGCACTTGAGAACTAGTGTTAGTCATTGTTATAGGGGTAAGCTAGTAGCAATCATTTCGCCGTGGCTCCTTTTGTTGCATGTGGGTGCGTCGTTTCTAGAGTTGGTAACCCTTTTGTGGCAATTTTGAGGCTCTCTGACTGTGACCCCCAGTATTGACAGGCTAGGAAGTGGGGTGCTTGGTGCTAGCCCATCATGGCATACAGGTGGCTGCAGACAGCTACGAGCAAGTCGCGCCCTGGCAAGCCCTTGACTCGAATACGGCAGCTGGGCCTTTTCCTTGCCTTTTCCGCAGGCTCTTTGCTGATGGGCTCTTCACTCTTCCAACAGGTGTGCTGCAAGAAGCCTTGCTTGCTGGCGAAGGATGATGGTTTGGAGGTTCTGACGTGACATGCCTGGCATGGAAGATGTTGTTCGGGTGTCAGGGGCCTGGCATGCAAAGCAGGACTGGTTGTTCAGCTAGTGCTGGAATTTGGGACCCTACACCAAGTTCCAAGCAGAGATCCCTTAGCCGCCCATGTCGACCGTTTAAAGAACGATTAGGCCTGAGGGCTCGTGTTGCTAATGGCTCTTGCTGGAAATGGGGCATGGTCACGCGCTGGAATTATTTCTATCCAACGCCCAAACGCGACGCGTTCGCTTTGAGGCGCTTGACGCTGCTTAGCCTCGGGGTGGCGGAAATGGCGCAGGCTGGGTTCCGGCTCTGGCCTCAAACAAACCACCCGGGACAAACATATAATGACTTCTCCCCCTGCAAATGAACATGGAACCCAAAAAGGGAGTGGCCCAAAAGGGAGACTTATCTAGAGAACGTATTTTTGTTGGCCATGTTGGTTTGCCCGGGTAGCTTCGGGAAGTTGCGTTCAGCTCAGTGAGTCGAAGACTTGTCACAGGTGACCTCGCAAAATGTGAGACCCAGAACTGTGCAGCATGATTAGCGGGTCAGGGGTCACTGGATCCCCAATTCAATGCGCTGCTCGGGCTCTTCAGTAGGCTGAAACAGCCTCGGCGCAAACTCCATTTTTGGGCATTTCAGAGCGGGGTGCATCTGGCCAGGCAATCCTGAAAATCCCCCGCCAGGTGGCGGGACAGATTTGTGGTGTCAGAAGGCTTCCCCTGGCGGGATCGTGGATTAGGCGAATCCACTTGCAACGCCTTGTCAAAATTGGGGAGTTTGGTACTCGACGTTGGCTTCCCCGCAGGGCCATCCAAGAAACGGGATCCCACCCCAACCCACCCCCCGCACCCCACCCCACCCCCGTTCCCCCCCCACCCCCACCCCACCATTTTGACACGTGCAGGTGTTTCGGGCGGTTCGCAAACGCTGCGAGCGCCCGGCTTTGGGCTCCCTGCTGGTCTTGGAGCGCTGGGTCAGGCGCGGGGATCGAACAGACATTGGCCGTTGCCAAATGGGTGGCTTTTTTTAATTGAAATTTGGGGACACCCCCCCCCTTCCCAAATTGGTCCGGATTTCCTGTTGGTTGCTTTTCAATAACTGGCACGTCCAAATGGCTCCTGAAACCCTGCTTGTTGGATGATGAACAAAACACATTTTCTGCACTATTTGGGTAGCACAACCCTTCCGTCCACTTCCAGGATGGGTGGAAAGAGGGGCTCGATGTCCTCATTGGGCAGGGGCTACCTAAGAGTGTACGAGTGCACGAACCCCTTGTAGCGGAGCCCGCTTGTTTCCCGCAATGTGAACCTGAGAAGGTGTGTGCATGTGGCTTGGGTCCCTGCATATTCCATCCCTTTTCTTTTGGTGATGTTTGAAGGGGTAGGTTGACGGTACGTGGGTTTTGGTGGTTGACATGATTCAGTTGAAGCATGTCTGGGGCTCGTGAAGGGGGGCTTGCTTGCACGAGCGCTGGTAAATGGCAAGGCGAGTTTGTTTGAGGATGTTGCAGGTGCACACGGTATTATACGTATGTGTCCGTATGAATGTACATATTCATGTACACACTCACACGCAGACACACACACACACACACATATATATATATACACATATATACACATATGTAGATGATATAGGTTGCACGTGCTACATGTTTTTTGTGCTTGTTTACTGCTCGCTTCGGCGGGCTTGTTTTTGTGACACGGACCTGCCATCGCTTCCTTGCCAGAGTTTGGATGCAGGTTGGAAGGGTTGGACACGTGTCACATCCACAGCCCAAGTGGCTAATCAACAGCCTAGTCTGACACTAGTTGGTAGATGCACTGCGCAAATGCACGACCATTTTCGTGCTTGCGACAGCGCTTTTGCGATTTTCGGCAAATGTCCTGCAAGCAAGGCATTGCCAAGCTTCCCGCCGGTTTCCCTGCCCATAGCTTTCCAGTGTCAGCTGATGAAGCTAGCTTGTGGCCCCTCTGCCGGTGCCTTTTTGCAAATTCCGAAGTTTCCTGAGCAACGTGGCGATTCTTGAAGTAGCATGGCTTCATGGTGTTGCGCCTGAGACACCCAGCCGAGCTGCTGCGATATGTTGAGCTGACTTCTGGAGGCACTTTCCATTGGACAGCTTCCCGCGACCAGGAACGCCTCGGCAGCCAGGACTGGGACAGTTGGAAGCTCTCGGGCTTCCCACCCCCGATTAGGAGGGAGGGGGCTGGGACCTCTTGGGGTTGCTTACAACTCTGGGCCCCTTATCTGCGCAATCTGGAAAGTGATGGGGGTATAAGGAGCTCACGTGCTGAAGGTCTCTTGGGGGGTTTTGCGATTTCTAGAAATGCTTGGAGTTCCGCCCCTTGCGGCCGTGCAGCAAACGAGGCGTCTGTGCACTCGCTGCAGCTTTGTTTGCCACTTATGTTCAACGAGTCGGTGGTCGTGAAATGCGCGTACATGTGAAGTCACCTTTGAAGGAAACTGCCAAGGGGATGGATTGCTTGACGTTTGCAGAACCCCTTGACGCCCAGGCTGGCCACCTGAAAATCCATAGAATCCGGGGCACCGGCTGTCAGCCCTACCAATGGGGAGGCTCCGATTTTCATGGCGGCTTTTGGGGGGGTCATGTTGTTCTTCTTTTTTGTTTGGGAGTGTCCATTTCTTGGACCTAATAACTTTCAGTACGCAGTGGGGGGGGTGCATTTCAGGTTTCTCCTTGAGCTCTCCAGTGATAAGGGCTTGTACCCAGAACCTTCCGCCAGGCTTTCCCCAATTCTCTCACAGCGCGAGCAAGAGTCCTCGCCAGCGGCAGGTGGCGAGTTCTGTGGAACGGGCTGGACATCTCTGAGAACCTCTGCCCTGGCGAGCAGATGGGCTGTGATGAGGGCCTCGTGCTCGACCGCCTCGGATGAAAAAGATGGCGAAAAGGGCGTACCAAGTGCAAAACACATCAACCGATGTACAGTGTATATATATATATATATTTGTGTGTGTGTATGTATGTATATGCGTAATTGTGTTTACAGTTGATTTGCCTGAGGCGTGCTTTTTGGATGGTTCCCGCTAATGGGAGACCACGATGTTATGATGGTTGACTGCAGGGTGGGGGGAATGTCACGTTGTTTTGACCGGATCCGCAGCTGCTTCTTCCCCAACGGCTGGAAGCTATGGGTTGTTTGCCCAGAGGTGTGTGTGTGTGTGTGTGTGTGTGTGTGTGTTGGTGTGGGTGTGTGTGTGTGTGTGTGGGTGTGTGTGTGTGTGTGGGTGTGTGTGTGTGTGGGTGTGGGTGTGGGGGTTGTGTGTGTGTGTGTGTGGGTGTGTGTGTGTGTGTGCGGGTGTGTGTGTGTGTGTGGGTGTGTGTGTGGGTGTGTTTGGGTGTGTGTGGTGTGTGTGTGTGTGTGTGTGTGTGTGTGTGTGTGTGTGTGTGTGTGTGTGTGTGTGTGTGTGTGTGTGTGTGTGTGTGTGTGTGTGTGTGTGTGTGTGTGTGTGTGTGTGTGTGTGTGTGTGTGTGTGTGTGTGTGTGTGTGTGTGTGTGTGTGTGTGTGTGTGTGTGTGTGTGTGTGTGTGTGTGTGTGTGTGTGTGTGTGTGTGTGGTGTGGGTGTGGGTGTGTGTGGGTGTGTGTGTGTGTGTGGGTGTGGTGTGTGTGTGTGTGGGTGTGTGTGTGTGTGTGGGTGTGTGTGTGTGTGTGTTTGTGTGTGGGTGTGTGTGTGTGTTGGTGTGTGTGGGTGTGGGTGTGTGGGTGTGTGGGTGTGTGTGGGTGTGTGTGTGTGTGTGTGTGTGAGTGTGTGTGTGTGTGGGTGTGTGTGTGTGTGGGGTAATTAGTTCGGAGCTGCTTCCAGGGAGGGTTCCGGAGGTTCTGGGGCTCTTGAAGATACCACCTGGGCTTGGCGGACGGGGGGGGTGGGGTCACCATGTTGAATCTTCTATATTCTCCACTCTTCGCTCTACGGGGTCGACAAAAGCCCTCGAGGGTTGCGGAGGCCCTGGGGGAGGGTGATTCACCATGTGGACCCTAACCGCTCTACTGAACTCCTGGGTCGACAGAACCCATCCCACAGCCCCACAGCCCCACTCGCCAGGACAAGTTGGATCGCCTTTGCGATCATCTTCGGGAAGCTGCTGAGGTCTTGCCGCAGGAGCCGAAGCAATGCCTGACGGCGGATTTTTTCAGTGAAACCTTCGCCTCACTGCCCCGGCGAGTGGACGTTTTGTGTTTTGTTTGGGAGAGGTGATGTGCCCATGGTAGACCAAGAGTCCGGGCTGGACCCTGAGCACTCAGGAAAGGAGCAGCCCCTGAGAACTGTTGAAAACCAATTGGATCTTCCATTGCACATCCGAAAGCTTAGTTTTGGATAGTGGCTGCGGAGAGAGTTCCCACTCAGACAGCGGATGTGGATTGGTACCCCCCTACAATGCAACACGGGTTCCCCAAGAGGAGATTCCTTCCGCAAATGAATATGGAACCCCAAACAACAGCATGTTTGAAGTCAAACCATGTGTCCTTTCGGTTTATATATGGTAATATTAAGGCACCTGCGTGAACTTCAGATCTGCATGGAGTGCCTGAAAGACCCCCCCAAAGCGTTGGGAATTAAAAAAATGGCCTCGAGGCTTGATATTTTCTTGGGAACGGGGAGTCTCTGCGGGAGTGGGCTCTGTCCCTAATGAATCAGGACAGGTCTTGCACACATCCGCAAACAAAATGCAAC